AATTTAACCGCTTTTATATTAGCATATGTTAAATCTAACTTTATTCCTCATTTCATTCATCTTTTCAAATAAAATTTTAGCCCAAATATATAATTCTTTCTTTCATACCTTGAATATTATTTTAAAAAAAATACATTTAATCATAAAAAAACAATCAAAATAGAAGCTTGATGCATATGAAATTACTGAAAGTATAAATACCAATCTTTTTGGCGATGGAACTTAAATCAAAATCGAAACGGAATTTTGGAAGCAAAATCAAAATCGAATTTAAAAAGCTTGATCAAAACAACTCGTGCGGGATAAAAAAAGGGTCTACTTGTTATGCAACATTAGGCCAAAGCTCATAAGAAATATAAAATCACACATCGTTTTCAATCTCAGTGGTTTAAGACCTATTTCGTTGGCAACTAATATGAAACTTATTAATATTTTTAGTTTCAGCCAAAATTCAAGTATTTTAATGAAGTTTTAATTGAAACTCATGGTTTTTTAGAAACTTTACCGAGGGTATGTTTAGGATAACTTAGGGGTGTCAATTCGGGTCAACCCGTCGGGTTCGGGTCGAACCCAACCCGACACGGATCTAAATGGGTCAACCCGAACCCGACCAGTTTGCAAAAACGGGTCGGGCATTTCAACCCGGACCCTACCCGACCGGGTTGCCGAGTTGACCCGACTCGACCCGCGACCCGGCAGCGGGCGACGCGCGCGGGTTCAGATTTCAGAATCGGCATCGGCGACGGCGCGCTGCTGCGGGCGCGGCAGGGGTTGACCCGGCAACCCGCCGAGTTAACCCGAACCCGACCCGTTTGATAAACGGGTCGAATTTAAAAACCCAAACCCGACCCGTTTATCAAACAGGTTTGGTCCAACCCGAATTTTCTGGGTCGGGTTTTCGGGTCGTGTCAAATATTGACACCCCTAGGATAACTATAGTATTTTAGAAAGTTGATTCTGAATTTATTATAGAGAAAATAATTTGGCTACTATGAATTCAAAAAGTAACTTTTTATTATAAAAATATCTCAAAAGAATTGAAAAAATAATAGCCAAATAAAAAAATAAAGAAGGCAGAAAGCTATCCCAAACAAAACCTAAAACTACTAAGAAATGATAAAAAGTTCAACTAACTTTCTATCAGTGAGGACCTATCAGATTTCATTTGTAATTGTAGCTCGAATCAGAATTAGATAACTTCTATTTGTTTCGTTCAATGAATGCAACTTTCATAATATTTTATGATTAAAAGAAAGAATCTGACCAAAGCGGATTCGGAGAGACACCGAGAGTTCCTGAATGAAGGCCATATCGTCAGAATATTTGCCCACATGGACGCTTTGCTGAATGGCACTAACATTTTATCATTCTTCTTCCCAGTGTTGAAGCTAAGCTTCTATTCCCATTGTTGAACAGGGACACCGTTGCCCATGTAACAGATACATTAATCCAAAGCTCATATAAAATATAAAATCGCATATAGTTTTCAGTTTTAGTAGTTTAGCATCGATTCGAGAGAAACTAATATGAAACTATGAATAGGAAAGGTCACTAGAAAAACTAATTATCTATTAAGGAAATTGACAAATTTAAAATGATACAATGTTTCAAAAAAAAAAAATCCTAATTACATCTAAAACGTTTAACATAAAATATAAGCAAAAGAGTTTTCAATGTTTAAGAAAATAAATTTTAAGAGCAAGTTAATCCTTTCAATATACCTACAACAACAACAAGCCTTTATCCCACTACGTGGGGTCGGCTACATGAATCTTTTTTCTCCATTGTGTCCTATTGAAGGTCAAATTCTCGTTTAAATCTAATAAAGAAAGGTCATTCTTAATATTTTCTAACCAAGTCTTTTTAGGTCTGTCTCTACCATTCTTAACATAAGTCAAATCTAATACTTCTACTCTCCTAACCGGGTCATTAGAAGGCCGTCGTTTTATGTGACCAAACCATCTAAGGCGACTCTCTCTAATCTTATCTTCTACCGGAGCTACTCCAACCTTTTCACGTATATGCTCATTCGTATCCTATCTCTAAGGGTAAAGCCACTCATCCACCTGAGCATCCTCATCTCTGCCACACTTAACTTAGTATTATGCTTCTCTTTTAATGGCCAACATTCAGCACCATAAAGCATTGCAGACATCACTACCATCTTATAGAATTTTCCCTTAAGTTTGAGGGGTACATTTCTATCACATAACAAGCCCGATGCATTCCGCCACTTCAACCATCCAACTTGAATTATGCTGATAATATCACAATCTATTTCACCATCACTCTGAACAAAT